CTTCCCAGTCCTTTTCCCAGCCCTTTTCCCCAGCTAAAAACCCAAACAGATCCCAGAGCTCCAAACCCCGGGAAGAACAAGGGAAACCCGGGATAGGATTAAGAACGAGGTCTTTGAGACCCATTTTCTTAAAAAAATACATCTGGGACTGAGCATGGGGGCTCCAGAGAAGGGGCTTGACCTGGGAGGAATTGCATCACCACTGATCCTACTAATTGGTGCTTTTTATCAATTATGCTAATTTCCTAAAACACATCAAAATGAGCAGCCATGGCTCCCTCAGATATGGGGTGCACRGCCAGCACCACCCTGATACCCCTATTCTGAATTTTTTAAAATTTATTTAGGGGTTAGGGTTATGGTTAGAGTTACAGATGTCATGTGGGTCTCTTGTGAACATCCTTCCATAACCGCCCCTTGAGCTCCAAAACAAAACTCCTTTTATATCACCTCTTATCTTAAAATCATGTGGAGTTTCATTTGTAGGTTGGAAAATGTCTCACTCCCATGGTTTCCTCTCAGAAGGAGCAGTGACAATGATTTCCCCTTGTCACCTCRGTTCCTCCCTGCCCTGCAGGTGCATTGGCTCCATCCAGTACCTGAAGAATAAATTTGGGAAGGGTTATCTCCTGGAAATGAAGGTCAAGGATGCAGAGAGCACCGAYGTTCTCCACGCTGAGGTTTTGAAGATTTTCCCGGGCGCCGCCCGTCAGGAGCGGTAACTATRAAATATAGGATCAGGAGTGGTTTCAACACTGCCTCGGCCCTAAAAACAACCCCAGTGTGATGGCCAGGCACGGGATCTGAGCTGGAGAGGGATGAACAGCTCCCTGCAAGGGGATCTGATTTGATAACGTCCCCACGTCCAGCCCTCCTGTGATCCCAGCAGCAAAACATCCATACATCCATAAAGTTTTGATCCCAAAACCTCATCACACAGCAATAAATAACATTTTCTTCTATTTCTTCCAGGTTCCCCTCTTTGCTTGTCTACAAGGTCCCAATGAAAGATGCACTGCCCCTGTCCCAGTCCTTCTCCAAGCTCGAGGAAGGTAAGAGCAAAACCAGGTGATTTTTGGGAATGGTGGAACAGGGACTGYTCATTTCTGACCCTGTTCCCGTTTGTCCACAGCCAAACGAAGCTGCAGCCTGGAGGAGTACAGCTTCTCCTTGAATACCCTGACTCAGGCAGGTGATTTTTATTTGTGCTGTAAAGGCAGGAGCGGGAGCAAAAGCTGCAGCCAAACCCAGGCAAAAGGCAGCGCCAGCAAAAAAAAATGCCTGAGGGTGGTGGGAGAGGGAAAGGGGTGGAAAATGGTTTGGTTTATTCACTGCTGGCATTTTGCATGGTGGCAACGAGCC